AAGATATTCGATAACGACTTAGCCGCGTTGCATATGCAGAAGAGTAATATAAACTTCAACAGACCGGTGTACGTTGGTATGAGTATTCTCGACTTGTCAAAACACTTAATGTATGACTTTTATTACAACGAACTTAAGAAGCAATACGGCGATAGATGCGAGGTGTTATATACCGACACAGATTCTTTGTTGATGGAAATACAAACCGAGGATGTGTATAAAGATATGGCTGAAAAAATAGATATGTACGACACGAGCGATTACCCAAAAGATAATCCAATGCACAGCGTAGTAAATAAAAAGGTGTTAGGTAAGATGAAGGATGAATGTGCTGGGACCCCTAAAGCGGAGTATGTAGGATTAAGACCTAAGATGTATTCTATAAAGAAGTATGATAATGGAGAGATAAGAAAAGCTAAGGGTGTTAAGAAGTATGTGGTAAAAAAGCATATCAAACACGAACAGTATAAAGAATCATTATTCAACGGTAGAACGTTCAAACACGAGATGAACTCTTTAAGAAGTTACAATCATAGGATATATGGATTAAGAATGAACAAGACATCATTATCCCCCTTAGATACAAAGAGATGGATTGATAAGGATGGTGTAACTACCTACGCTTATGGTTACTTAGGGCGGTAATACTGTATCGTTGGGAACTATGAACAACTCTTCTCGTACAAATGCCCTGCCCGGTCCATCTTTAAGAAAATAAAGAATAGGCTCTCCTTCGTTCATAACCAATCGACTAATGTTATATGTCTTAAGAGACCAAATCGGATCTGTTGCGCGACTAGGCCTCCTTCAAGTTCACCGGGCTGGTATAAATATCTTACGCTTACTCTATCCGCAAGTTTTTGTTCTTTGCCTCTCCTCGGTGCTGAAGATTCGGATGTCACGGATTTCATTTTAATCGCATCGGATGGTTTCTTCCCGATTAATCTCGTCACTTCATTATTCAGCGCTGATACAACAGCTGATAATCGTGTCACCCATTCGGTTGATCTTAATCGTTCTGATTTCATTTCGATCCCATACTGATAGCCAAACAATCGTTCCGCTAATGTCCTGTTAAATCTTTCAACGATAGCTTGACTACGGTGGGCCTCTTTTTCACCATGCCTGGTTTCGACATCGTGCTTTGTTAACAGTTTAGTTATTGATCCCATAAACTCGCGACCAGGATCTACTTGAAATAGCTTAGGCCATTTCAGTGGTCCCCGTTTATATATGCGACTCAGTGCATTAGCTACTTCTGTTGAATCTTTCGAGGTTAATGGCTCAGCCTCTTTGTATCACATCCACTATGGTTAAAGTGTATTTATACGTTTTGCGTCTTACCTTATCGTGGGGAAGAAACAAGAGGTCAGCCTGATGAACTTCATTCGTTGTGAAATATCAAACTTCTTCCTCGGTATATAACGCGGTGCCGGTAAATATATTTGCCACATCGCTTGTTTCTTTAACCAATCCTTGGCCACATCTTTAGATACCTTAGCCGTGGTGGCAAATTTTTTTATTGCTCCTATACCTTTCCAATATCCTCGTGGGCTATAGTAAATTTTATTCATTATTAATTAATATTGATGTTTCTTTTAATACGACTCATGACTATCGTTGAATCGCCTCATCATTTTTACATAAAAAATTCCTCTGTATTAGCAGTATAGGTATATAAATCCGGCTCCAGTGGAAGTGGTCCAGAACCCCTATTACCTATAAAAATTTATAAACTAGTGTCCAAAAGAAACGATACCAACTTATTTTCAAAATTGTTTTTTACTAAGTGAATTGTCAAGTATGAAAACATGCCAATTCGTATTGCACATCCCAAACACAGCATAGTCGATAAAAAATACCGGGAACACGTGATCACTTCCGGGAAAAAACGTAAATTTCGTGAAAGTGACATATCCCTCTCTAGCATGTTCTGCACGTGCAGAAAAACTGTATAAAACGGCTGATCAGACACGTTGATATCACAGCAACAAAAAGAACACAAGATATGCCACGTTTGACAGCCATCGAGAGAGAGAGAGCCGTTGGAATGGTCCAACAAGGAGCTTCACACGTCGACGTCGCCAGAAGGTTGGGCTGCGCACGCATCACTATCACCAGGTTGATGCAGCGGTTACGTCAGACAGGTCAGACGTCAGACAGGCCCAGGAGTGGAAGACCACGAGTAACCACGCCCCGTGAAGATCGTTACATCCGGGTATTACACCCGAGGAACCGCACCGTAACAGCGACGTCCACGGCGGCTACAGCACTGGGACACAGGATCAGTCGACAGACCGTCTACAGGAGACTACGGCAGTATGGTATCCGGCCACGTCATCCATACCGCGGACCGCTCCTGACGCCTCGACACCGGAACAACAGACTGATCTGGGCCAGGCGAGTTCGACGTTGGCAACGGCGGGACTGGGCACGTGTTATGTTCTCTGATGAGAGCAGATTCCTCATCTTCAGAAACGATGGACGGCAGCTTGTATACCGACGATTTGGTGAACGTTTGGCGCCTAACTGTATCCAACAGGTCCGGCCGTTTGGAGGTGGAGGGTTAATGGTTTGGGGTGGCATATGTGGTGACGTCAAAACGATGCTTGTCGTAATTCGTGGAAACCTGAATGCACAGCGTTATCTTGATGACATCCTACGGCCTGTTGTGGTGCCCTTTATTCAGCAACAGCCTCGTGGACTCCTTTTCCAACATGACAATGCAAGGCCACACACAGCAAGATTGACACAGAACTTCCTTGCCAACGCCAACGTACAGGTTTTGCCATGGCCCGCATGTTCACATGAATCCTATCGAGCACTTATGGGACCACCTCGATCAGCAAATCCGACGTCGCCGTGTGCCTCCAGTCAACGTCCAGGACTTGGAACGATGTCTCCTCGAGGAATGGCAACGCATCACTCCCAACGTCATCAGACGTTTGACGTCATCAGTCCATAGGCGTGTTCTGGCATGTATTGATGCTCACGGTGGACATACCCGCTACTGACTTGATTTTGAGACGTGTGGTGTGACATTTCCCGTTGTTTCTGTGATCAGTGCTCTAACGAAATGTTCATTTTTCGACCCCACCCATCTTTAAAGGCTTGTCATATTGGTTGTACAGATTTTATTGAAATGAAATTTTTGTACAGATGTTGTGAAAGGATTTCTCAAAAGCATAACACCAATCCTAAACTTCTGCATTGTTTAGTTTTTCTTTTATGTCGTTGCAAACAGGTGGTATCGTTTCTTTTGGACACTAGTTTATCAAAGCATTGATTGACTCCAGGTGGTGGTGAGCTAGAGTCAATTTAGCTGAATCTCATGACTATCATTGAATCGCATAGTCATTTACACATAAAAAATGCCACCTGTAGTGGTGGTATAGGTATATAAATCTGGCTCCAGTGGGGTTGTGGCAGAATCACCATTACCTATACTACTTAGGCTGAAGAAATTAATTAACATGCGCCCTTTGTCGAAATCTTTATAGATCACGGTTAACAAATCAGTGTTAAAAAATGCGTAGAACGAATTTTGCCTCCAAGTTTATTTAGCTGTCCTTGCAGACGGTAGCCCAGTCTCTTGTCACGCTCAGTTGCGTTGCCTATCATCCGGGTACTCACGGGGGGGGGGGGGGGGGGGGGGGGGGGAGACAAAAACAAACTAAGGCAAAAACCAGTCCCGGAGAATTGCTTTAGATCAGTGCCCCTTTAGCATCAACCACATGGGAAACCTACAACACGATGAATGAGTGAGTGAGTGAGTTGGTTTTAACGCCGCTTTAAACAGTATTCCAGTTATATCACGGTGTGTCAGCTTAATGTGTGAGGAAAGCCCGAAGGGATGCAGGTCTCAGACGTTTACCACTTATGTGAAACCCACGAGCACGGGTATGGTGCTGACAAACCTAGAAACATAATCGGGGCGAACCGGGATTCGAACCCACAATCATAGATTTCTCGCGTGCCCAAGGGACGCAACTCTGCACAGCGAATCGCGGCGCCTTAGACGACTGGGCAACCCGTGCCCCCACAACACGATGAAACGTTGCCAGAAGTGTTCAGGGTGGTCAGAGGGTGCAGGGGTGCACCTTACATTTCACCTGTGCCATCGGCCAAGGAACCTTTTGCAAAATCCTAGATCAGCTTCTGATAAGAGAGAACCCTCGCCGTCGGATTCTCCCGTGAAGCTGATTAAAAGAATGATTTTACGAACGTTTCATATAGTTTGTGTGCTCTGGAACATGTACTGGCGAGTGAATGAATGGTGTTCGCGCTTGGCCGACATTCTACAGATGTACAGGTCTGGACTAGGGCTGGCAGTATCACTTTTACGGCAGACGTGATTTGTTAACACTGACTTACTATGGTCACAGGGCTAAGTCGTCCCGTGAAGAATAAGAGGCGACTAACGGGATCGGGTTGTCAGGCTCGCTGACTTGATTGATGCATGTCATCGTACCCCAATTGCGTAGATCGATGTCCATCGGTGTCAATCACTGGATTGTCTGGTCCAGATTCGGTTATTTCAAGACCGCCGTCATACAGCTGGAATAATGCTGAGTGCGTCGTTAAACAACAAACAAACAAACACAGTGCTAAGTCAATGATCGTTGTGAGGAACTGGTCCCAGACAATAGTACAGTCGACTGTGACGTCATGTGACAGTTGAACGTCTTAGGGTTGGTCAGTTTATAGTAGTTTCACATTGTGATGGGCCGATACCACAGCCGGTTACCTGGCTTCTTTAGTAGTTTATGTAGTATATGAAATAGTAGTTTATGTTCTAAACGAACATTAAACATTTATCAACAACAACACAATACTTCATTGGGTGACGTCTACCGCCACCTCAAGTATATAAAGATCGGGATTAATCAGGAAACATTTATTTCTAACACTTCACAACCCAAGTTTCTCTGAAACACTTAATCTGGACGAAATGGAATCCATCACGTATCCGTCTTTGGAAGAGTCCGATTTCCACCTACCATGTCTTTTAAAGAGTCTGTCCGGGACTCCAGCTTCCGCAGCCTCTGTGGCTCCTCCAGATCGAAAACTGTGTAAACCAAATGAATTCTTGTCTAAACCCAGGGAGCCCAACATCGACAAAATTGTTTCCCTCATTCCCGAATATGAAATAGGTTTTGTACCTTTTAATCTAGAAATCCCCTTAATTCTACACACACAGATCTGACGGAAGATGTACTCTTTGGATCCAGCCTGCAATGCGGCCATTTTCATGTAACGGTTTAGCATCTGAACTGGACATAATTTTGACCTACTGGCCGATATCACCACGTGATCTCCATCCCTGTATTTATCAGTTTTACTTTCCTCTAAGAAAATAGATATGTAACCCTCCTCAAACCTTATATCAGAACATTTAAGTTTCACAACTTCTGAAAACCTGAAAAAACCTGCATATGCTATTAGACAAAATGTCAAGGATCTTAAGTTGAACAAACTAGCCGTATCACAACCGTAATGGTCAACTAAACTCTTAAGAATATCTGGAGTAATTGGCTCTTTCTTAGAAACGGGGCAAGAATCGGTTCTCAGGCTGGATTCTAGAACAAACTTGACTATACTTGAACTACAGGGATTCCTTACGCCAGCCAAGTTGTGAGCCCAACCAATACTGTACAAAGTCTGCTGACTAGTAGCTGGACTTTTGTCGTTCTGCTTTAGATGTTCCAAATAAAGAGCTACATGGGAATCTGTAGCTGGTAACGGGGTAATTTCAGAAAACTGCTCGCATCAATCTACCCACTTTTTGTAATACGTTCTATAAGTTTTCACCGTAGCACTGTTTTCGATAATTGGTGAGCGAGAGTCTGTAAACGGCCGTCCTGAAGTTTCATTCCCCACTCTCCAGTGGTAAACACATCTGCAATAATAATGTTAAAATAACTTTACTGCCAATGCACTTCCCTTGAATTTACTGTTGAAAATTGTGTTGTGACTTCCTTGAACAAAGATAACTCTGTTTTTCAGTTCTATAACATCCGATACGCCTTGAACGGTCTCTCCTGATTTATCAAACAAACGAGGCCAGAATATAGCAGATTTCCAACACGGCACTATCAGTACTGACCGAAACCTTTGTACAACATGAAATTAATCACTTTAGATACGAGAGGAAAAGGTGGAACTACCCAATTGTTTTCACCTGACCAATCTTGAGTGAATGTATTTACAGCTTCGGTGTCTTTAACCCAGAACTTAGAATTAAATCTTGTCAACTTTTTGTTGTGTTCATCAGCAAACCTGTCAACAGTGAAAGGACCCCAAATTTCATTCAGCTCGTAGAAAACTTCATCTGCCACTGACCAGTCGTCATAATCCACTGACCTACTTAACTCATCTGCAGCAACATTCTTATCCCTGGTAATCCACTGAAATGATATGGCGATATTGCTCTCTCTACAGAAGTGAAATATATTTAGTGCAATCTTTTGCAATTCATCCACGAAACTGCCGTTTGTACAAATAGAACGGGCTGCCTGACTATCCAAATTCCATATAGCATTTGATCCGCGAATAAAATCCTTCAAACTTACAAGTCCAAGCTCGACAGCCTTTAATTCTCTCCATGTTGAGCTCTTCTTCGATTCCTCTGCTGACCACATATAGTAACACTGTTCTTCTGTGTTCTCTATATAGGATCCACAACCAGAATTGCTAGCATCTGAATACACTGAGAATGACGATGAAAATCTGGATTGATGAACCTAGAGTTAATGTGCTGTATGGTATCCTTCCAAAATTCTAGTTCAGTGACACAGCCTAGATTCAAAAATAAATATACCTTATCCCATGACCTGCAATTAGGTATCTGTTCATAACATCTTGTGGTCATCAGCCGCGTAATATTACCTACCACTGGCGAGAAAGAGATGACCTTACCTACTAGACGAGCTAATCTTCTTGCTGAAAAAGCTGGCAACCCGTTTAGTAGCTGAGTGATAGCATCTGCCAATTCCTTCACCTTGTGCTTAGGTATACTATACCTGACGCCGAACACCAACTAATACCAAGCCATTCTAACTGTTGTGACGGTTGCCAAACTGACTTTTGTGAATTAACTATAAACCCAGCTTTTTTCAATGTGTTCTGAACAAAATTGGAATCACTAAGTGAACGAGAATAACTTTTGTTGGCTCCGAAACCATCATCAAGATATACAACGATGTCAAGTCCTGATGACCTCCAATACTTGACCAATGGCCTCATACACTTAGTAAAAATATATGGGGCTGATGTTAAACCGAACGGTAGAACTGTAAACTGGAAATATCTCCAACTACAGTGTAAGTTCCATGCAAAACCTAAAAATGTTTGCTGATCACTACATATATCAATGTGATGATATCCTGATTTAAGATCAAACTTGAACATGAAGCATCCTTTTCGGATGAAGTCCAATACTTGAGAGTGATTCTCAAATGTTGTAGATTGCTTCAAAACGTGACTATTTACCAACCTCAAGTCGAGAATTAATCTTTTCTTCCCAGATTTTTGAACCGATACAGTGGGAGGGTTGACAACATGTGGACAAATTTTTACCTCTGTAACACACTTGTTTTTTAACAGTTCTTCAATAGCTGAATTAACGAATTCGGAGTGAATATATGCTGAAGTATTGTTCCTAGAAAAAATTCATGAGTGGGGTAGATATAAAAGGTATAACATACCCACATTTTATAGTTTGTAACACCACTTCAGGAGGTTGAAGTTGTTCCCAGAAAGCTAAATGTTTCAATAGACTCCCTTTCACGAGAGGTGTAGACGTACCATCCAACTCCGTAGGTATTTTCGAACTCTCCTTTTGTGCCACCATTCCAGTCGGCATATGAGTATTCTTGACGTCCAAAAACTCCTGAGTAACTGTGTGAGTGTTATTTTTTGTCAAACTCCCTTGACCCGGATGTTGCGGCCGGAGTATCCTCTGGGTTCCCTCGTCGAAGGGCCTTGGGACAAGAACCTCGCCAGTGTCCGTAACCGCCACAGGCAAAGCACTGTTGATGTGGCTGGGGACCCCTACGTGGTTGCCCACGAAAAGACTGAGGACCAGAAGGCAGCGACGCTATATCATGTTTATCCATTGTATATGGAGCAAGCTGGCGAAACGACCCATAGTACTAGCCCGTTTGCGTATAGCCCTGTTTTCTGCTCTCTCGAACTTTCTTTCCTCTACAGAGATCGACTCTAAGTCGTCCCCTTCCAACTCCTGAACTGTGCTCCACCCGGCTGGGGACCTATCAACTAGGCGAATAAGCTTGTTTCTCTTGTCTATGCTGCTAGATAAATTATCCAAAAAATCCATCACTCCAGAATAATTTCCCCTTCTTAGACTTGATTTTTCTAACCTTACAGTGTCCGAAAGTCCACAGTTGAAATTATATTGAACAGAATTCCCTTTATATTTAAACTCTGGTTTCGAATCTTTTCTCAACCGTTTGGTTACCGAGAGCGTAGCTGCTCCGACTCGTGCAGAAAATCTTGTTTAAGTGTTAGAAGTTTATTGTCAAAATACTGCCTGTGAACAGATTAAAAGAATCAAAGTTATCACCTTTTTCTTGCGCTGCCGTGTTCAATATCATTCGTCCAACAGGTAATCTTCTTGTGCCAGATCTATTCGTTGTTGTAAATGAAGTATTTGTCTTTCTCGAATCAGAGTAATCAGTTTCAGTAATGTGTCAAGGTCCAAATAAATAACTGAACTTGAATATGTAGTCTACAGAATAACTACTGAGTCACTCGCTGAGCAGCGTGTAGGAAGCGTATACTTAATACAGAGTTACTTCCCCTAGAGCGTTAGCCGCGATTTGTCGTCTTGTACACCCCAAGCAAACCTTTCTCAGGCGTGTTAGAGATGCTTGTACAGACATAACAATGTAGATGAACTGTGTATTACGTGCGTAGCTCAATCACTACGAAAGAAAGAGAGAAATGTTTATTTCAAAAGTTATGATAAAAAGAAGGAAGGCATTTTGGTTCCTCAAATGAACCTTGTTTAGTTATTATTACAGTTTGTTTTTATTTTAACAACTGTTGAGATGTCAAATCATGTAAGCTTTTTTGGAAATGGAACGTGTAATCTTCAAATTGAAAGATATGTCCCTTCTATTGCTCTACAGGAATCTTTTCAATGTTTGTTTTTTTATTGTTGAGTTTGATTTTAGTGGCAATAGAAATCCCAAACAGATTAAGTTGAAACAGGCAGATGCTTTAACTCCCCATCAACCCGATCTCTCCCCGTCCCTCCCACGACCCAGGTAGTGACCCCATCAGCCCGATCTTTCCCCATTTCTCTCACGACCCAGACAGTGTCCCCATCACCAGCTCAATTTTTCCCCACCTCTCTCACAACATAGGTAGTGACCCCATCAGCCCAATCTCTCCCTATCTCTCTCTAGACCCAGGTAGTGACCCCATCAGCCCGATCTCTCCCTATCTCTCTCACGACCCAGATAGTGTCCTCATCAGCCCGATCTCTCCCCACCTCTCTCACGACCCAGGTAGTGTCCCCATCAGCCCGATCTCTCCCCAACTCTCTCACGACCCAGGTAGTGTCCTCATCAGCCAGACCTCTCCCCACCTCTCTCACGACCCAGGTAGTGTCCCCATCAGCCCAATCTCTCCCTATCTCTCTCTAGACCCAGGTAGTGACTCCATCAGCCCAATCTCTCCCCACCTCTCTCACGACCCAGGTAGTGACCCCATCAGCCCGATCTCTCCACATCTCTCTCACGACCCAGGTAGTGTCCTCATCAGCCGGATCTCTCCCTATCTCTCTCACGACCCAGGTAGTGACCCCATCAGCCCGATCTCTCCCCACCTCTCTCACGACTCAGGTAGTGACCCCATTAGCCCGATCTCTCCCCACCTCTCTCACGACCCAGGTAGTGAACCCATCAGCCCGATCTCTCCCCATCTCTCTCACGACCCAGGTATTGACCCCATCAGCCCGATCTCTCCCCACCTCTCTCACGACCCAGGTAGTGACCCCATCAGCCCGATCTCTCCCTATCTCTCTCACGACCCAGATAGTGTCCCCATCAGCCCGATCTCTCCCCATCTCTCTCACGATCCAGGTAGTTTCCCCTTCAGCCCGATCTCTCCCCATCTCTCTCACGACCCAGGTACTGTCCACATCAGCCCGATCTCTCCCCACCTCTCTCACGACCCAGATAGTGTCCTCATCAGCCCAATCTCTCCCCACCTCTCTCACGACCCAGGTAGTGACCCCATCAGCCCAATCTCTCCCTATCTCCCTCACGACCCAGATAGTGTCCTCATCAACCCAAACTCTCCCCACCTCTCTCACGACCCAGGTAGTGTCCCCATCAGCCCAATCTCTCCCTATCTCCCTCACGACCCAGATAGTGTCCCCATCACACCAATCTCTCCCAACCTCTCTCACGACCAAGGTAGTGTCCCCATCAGCCCGATCTCTCCCTATCTATCTCACGGCCCAGATAGTGTCCTCATCAGCCCGATCTCTCCCTATCTCTCTCACGATCCAGGTAGTGACCCCATCAGCCCGATCTCTCCCTATCTCTCTCACGACCCAGATAGTGTCCCCATCAGCTCGATCTCTCCCCACCTCTCTCACGACCAAGGTAGTGTCCCCATCACCCCAATCTACCCCCAACTCTCTCAAGACCCAGGTAGTGTCCCCATCAGCCCGATCTCTCCCAATCTCTCTCACGACCCAGATAGTGTCCTCATCAGTCAGACCTCTCCCCACCTCTCTCACGACCCAGATAGTGTCCTCATCAGTCAGACCTCTCCCCACCTCTCTCAAGACCCAGTTAGTGTCCCCATCAGCACGATCTCTCCCTACCTCACTCATGACCCAGGTAGTGACCCCATCAACCCGATCTCTCCCCATCTCTCTCACGACCCAGGTAGTGTCCCCATCACCCCAATCTCTCCCCATCTCTCTCACGACCGAGAAAGTGTACTCATCAGCCCGATCTCTCCCCATCTCTCTCACGACCCAGGTAGTGTCCCCTTCACCCCGATCTCTCCCCACCTCTCTCACGACCCAGATAGTGTCCTCATCAGCCCGATCTCCCCCCAACTCTCTCAAGACCCAGGTAGTGTCCCCATCAGCCCGATCTCTCCCCATCTCTCTCACGACCAAGGTAGTGTCCTCATCAGTCTGACCTCTCCCCACCTCTCTCAAGACCCAGGTAGTGTCCCCATCAGCCCGATCTCCCCCCATCTCTCTCACGACCAAGGTAGTGTCCTCATCAGTCAGACCTCTACCCACCTCTCTCACGACCAAGGTAGTGTCCCCATCAGCCCGATCTCTACTCAACTCTCTCACGACCCAGATAGTGACCCCATCACCACGATCTCTCCCCATCTCTCTCACGACCCAGGTAGTGTCCCCATCACACCAATCTCTCCCAGCCTCTCTCGCGACCAAGGTAGTGTCCCCATCAGCCCGATCTCTCCCTATCTATCTCACGACCCAGATAGTGTCCTCATCAGCCCGATCTCTCCCCACCTCTCTCACGACCCAGGTAGTGACCCCATCAGCCCGATCTCTCCCCATCTCTCTCACGACCCAGGTAGTGTCCTCATCAGCCCGATCTCTCCACATCTCTCTCACGACCCAGGTAGTGACCCCATCAGCCCGATCTCTCCCTATCTCTCTCACGACCCAGATAGTGTCCCCATCAGCTCGATCTCTCCCCACCTCTCTCACGACCCAGATAGTGACCCCATCAGCCTGATCTCTCTCTACTTCTCTCACCACCCAGGTAGTGAACCCATCAGCCCGATCTCTCCCCACCTCTCTCACGACCCAGGTAGTGTCCTCATCAACCCGATCTCTCCCCACCTCTCTCACGACCCAGGTAGTGTCCCCATCAGCCCGATCTCTCCCCACCTCTCTCACGACCCAGATAGTGTCCCCATCAGCCCGATCTCTCCCCACCTCTCTCACGACCCAGATAGTGACCCCATCAGCCCGATCTCTCCCCACCTCTCTCACGACCCAGGTAGTGTCCCCATCAGCCCGATCTCTCCCTATCTCTCTCTTGACCCAGGAAGTGTCCCGATCACACCAATCTCTCCCAACCTCTCTCACGACCAAGATAGTGTCCCAATCAGCCCGATCTCTCCCTATCTATCTCACGACCCAGATAGTGTCCTCATCAGCCCGATCTCTCCCCACCTCTCTCACGACCCAGGTAGTGTCCTCATCAGCTCAATCACTCCCCACCTCTCTTACAACATAGGTAGTGACCCCATCAGCCCGATCTCTCTCACGACCCAGATAGTGACCCAATCACCACGATCTCTCCCTATCTCTCTCACGACCCAGGTAGTGTCCCCATCACACCAATCTCTCCCAACCTCTCTCACGACCAAGGTAGTGACCCCATCAGCCCGATCTCTCCCTATCTATCTCACGACCCAGATAGTGTCCTTATCAGCCCGATCTCTCCCCACCTCTCTCACGACCCAGGTAGTGACGCCATCAGCCCGATCTCTCCACATCTCTCTCACGACCCAGGTAGTGTCCTCATCAGCCGGACCTCTCCCCACCTCTCTCAAGACCCAGGTAGTGTCCCCATCAGCCCGATCTCTCCCCACCTCTCTCATGACTCAGGTAGTGACCCCATTAGCCCGATCTCTCCCCACCTCTCTCACGACCCAGGTAGTGAACCCATCAGCCCGATGTCTCCCCATCTCTCTCACGACCCAGGTATTGACCCCATCAGCCCGATCTCTCCCCACCTCTCTCACGACCCAGGTAGTGACCCCATCAGCCCGATCTCTCCCTATCTCTCTCACGACCCAGATAGTGTCCCCATCAGCCCGATCTCTCCC